AGGAAAGGGTTCTTACAGGAGGAAGCATTCAAATTAGGTTTAAGAAGATGGGTGAGATTTGGACCAGGAAGTGGGAGCTGATTATCCCAGGAGGTAGGTATTATAAGGATGGGTTTTGGGGATAATCAGAGTGTTTGAAGGGAAATTGAAAGAGATGAGATTGGAGAGACAGGTTGAGGACAGTTATTTGAAGAGTTTGAAACCCAGCTAAGGAGCTTGAACATAATCTGTCAGATGAAGGGGAGTTATTAGGATTTTTTGAGTAGCTCATAGATCACTACCTTAATCTATTATGTAGGATGAATTGGTGAAGGAAAAAACAGGAGCCTTACAGTAGCACAGATGAGAAGCAATAAGAGATGCAACTTCTACCTTTTATTGAGCACACTTTTCTTTTGAGATGGAGTTTCACTCTTGTTGCCCAGGCTGGAGTGCAATGGCGCAATCTTGGATCACCGCAACCTCCGCCTCCCGGGTTCAAGCGATTCTTCTGCCTCAGCCTCCTGAGTAGCTGGGATTATAGGTGCCTGCCACCACGCACAGCTAATTTTTGTATTTTTAGTAGAGAAGAGGTTTCACCATGTTGGCCAGGCTGGTCTTGAATGCCTAACCTCAGGTGAGCCACCCACCTTGGCCTCCCAAAGTGCTGAGATTACAGGTGTGAGCCACCACACCTGGCTTGAACACACTTTTCTTTTCTTTCTTTCTTTTTTTTTTTAGACAGAGTTTTGCTCTTGTTGTCCAGGCTGGAGTGCAGTGGTGCACGATCTTTGCTCACCACAACCTCCCCTCCTGGATTCAAGCGATTCTCCTGCCTCAGCCTCCCAATTAGTTGGGGGTATAGGCATACGCCACCACGCCTGGCTAATTTTGTACTTTTAGTAGAGATCAGATTTCTCTTGGTCAGGCTGGTTTTGAACTCCCAACCTCAGGTGATCTGCCCACCTCGGCCTCCCAAAATGTTGGGATTACAGGCCTAAGCCACCATGCCCGGCCTTTGAAAAGCCACACTTTTCTTTTTTTTGAGATGAAGTCTCACTCTTGTCCTCCAGGCTGGAGTGCAATGGCGCTATCTCGGCTCACTGCAACCTCCGCCTCCCTGGGATTACAGGCACCTGCCACCATGCCCGGGTAATTTTTTTATTTTTAGTTGAGATGGGGTTTCACCATGTTCGCCGGGCTGGTCTCAAACTCTTGACCTCGTGATCCGCCTACCTTGGCCTCCTAAGGTGCTGAGATTACAGGTGTGAATCACTGCATCCAGCCTCTATTTTTGCTTGCTTGCTTTTTTTTTCTTTTTTTTTTTTTTGAGATGGAGTCTCGCTCTGTCGCACAGACTGGAGTGTGGTGCGCAGTCTCGGCTTACTGCAAGCTCCGCCTCCCGGGTTCACGCCATTCTCCTGACTCAGTCTCCTGAGTAGCTGGGACTACAAGCGCCCGCCACCACACCGGCTAATTTTTTTTGTATTTTAGTAGAGATGGGGTTTCACTGTGTTAGCCAGGATGGTCTCAATCTCCTGACTGTGAGCCCTTTCTTGGCCTCCCAAAGTGCTGGGATTACAGGCGTGAGCCACTCTGGCCTATTTTTGCTTTCTCTCACCAACATGTTAGGCTTAAAATGAGCTGCTGTGGACGAAAGTGATTTGTAAATAAAATAAATTGCTATGTATGTAGGGCATTAGAGAACTCTTAGCTCATGTATAATCTTCTGTATGAACACATGGATTCCTCTGTGTAAATGATACCCTTTTCCAACCTCCCTTGAAGGAGTATGGGTCTCCCATAGTTTAAATGATCTCTCCGGTATCATCCTGTAATTGTACTTGAAATTATGGGTTGTTGGATTCAGAATAGCCAAGATTTGGTTACTATTGAATGTTTTCTTCATTTGCTCAAGTTGTTGCGCAAGAAGCACATGTTGTCTTGCTTCCAAGATGCCCTCGTGAGGCACCTCCCTGGTCACGCACTGTGTCTCAGGATCAGAGAGTCTGCATCCGCTTCATAAGCGTGCTTTTGGTAAGATTAGGAGGGAAATTTGATATGAGTTTTGAATGTGTAGTATGTATATCTGCTTTTGGAGGTCTTTGGAAAAATGATCCTAGATGATTTAGATTTTTGTATTGTAAAACTTATTAGCAAATGTGTTGTCATAATGATGGGAAATGGCCCCTTTTCTAAGACACAAGATGCATTTTAACAGTAGTAACTGACTTTACTAGAGCCAAGAAGTTAGTAAAAGTAAGAAGATGAAAATGGGAATTGGCCAGGCATGGGCTCATGCCTGTAGTCCCAACACTTTGGGAGGCTGAGGCGGGTAATCACTTGAGGTCAGAGTTAGAGACCAGCCTGGTCAACATGGTAAAACCCTGTCTCTACTAAAAATACAAAAATTAGCTCCATGTGGTGGCAGTGGCTGTAGTCCCAGCTACTCAGGAGGCTGAGGCATGAGAATTGCTTGAACCCTGGAGGCGGAGGTTGCAGTGAGACTAGTTCGTGCCACTGCACTCATCTGGGGCAACAGAGCAAGACTCCATCTCAAAAAAAATCTTCAAAGAGCTCAGTATAGACTCTAAAGTCCAGCCTGGCCAATTCATCTTTTTAAAGCCTGGGCAGGTCATTGAAAGTCAAAGGTGTTGTGCTGAGAGTAGAATTTAGTTGGAACATTGTTTATAGCTGCTTTTTAGACTTACAAATATACAGTGTGCCTGCATGGGTCTATTTCTCTTTGAAGAGAACTGTTAACCCACTCCCTTTTTTTTTTTTTTTTTTTTTTTTTTTGAGACAGTCTCGCTCTGTCGCCCAGGCTCAGTTCACTGGAATCTCTCGCTCCTGGTTCAAGCAATTCTCCTACCTCAGCCTCCTGAGTAGCTGGACTATAGCACAGCACTACTCCCTGGCTAATTTTTGTATTTTTAGTAGAACGGGGTTTTGCCATATTGGTCAGCTTTTGTTGAACTCCTGACCTCAGGTAATCTGCCACCTTGGCCTCCCAAATTGCTTGGATACAGGTATGTGCCACCGTGCCCTGCCTAACCACCCCTTTCTTACCTCCCTCTGCTCCCAAGACTTCGTTACACCAGCGTGGAAGATGGAGTGTGAAGACCTCTGTATTGAAGGTAAGTTGAAACACATTGTATCTAGCACTTGGAAGATGAAAAGTATTAGTCTGAATTGCAGCTCTGGTTACCTGAGACCTGGCGAAATTAAGAAGGACACTCCATTAGTTTTCAATCACTAATTCAACATTTGTTTTCTTTGTTGTTGTTGTTTTTCTTTTTTTTCTCTGAGACAGAGTCTCTGTCGCCCAGGCTGGAGTGCAGTGGCCTGATCTCGGCTCACTGCAAACTCCGCCTCCCGGGTTCACGCCATTCTCCTGCCTCAGCCCTCCAAAGTAGCTAGGACTACAGCCCTGCCACCACGCCCAGCTAATTTTTGTATTTTTTAAGTAGAGACAGGGTTTCACTGTGTTAGCCAGATGGTCTCAATCTCCTGACCTCGTGATCTGCCTGCCTCGCCTCCCAAAGTGCTGGGATTACAGGTGTAAGCCACAGCTGCCCAGCCTCAATATTTGTTTTTTTACTTTTTTTTTTTTTTAGATGGAGCTTGCTCTGTTGCCCAGGCTGGAGTGCAGTGATGTGATCTCAGCTCACTGCAACCTCTGCCACGCAGGTTCATAGCGATTCTACCTGTCTCAGCTTCCGAGTAGCTGGGATTACAGCATCCTGCCACCACGCCCAGCTAATTTTTGTATTTTGGAGTAGAGACAGAGTTTCATCATGCCTGGCCAGGCTGGTCTCTGAGCTCCCAGACTCAGGTGATCTGCCTGCCTCAGCCTCAAGTGCTGGGATTACAGGTGTGAGCCACTGGCACCCAGCCCAATATTTCTTTCTTTCTTTCTCTCTTTTTCTTTTCTATCTTTTTTTTTTTTTTTTTTTTTCCTTGAAGAGAGGGCCTCATTCTGTCGCCCAGGCTAGGAGTGCAGTGGTACAATCATAGCTGACTGCAGCCTTGAACTCCTGGGTTCAAGCAATCTGTCCCACTCAGCCTCCCAAGTATGGGACTACAGGTGTGCACTACCATGACTGGCTAAAAAAATTTCTTTTCGTTGAGACGGGGACTTACCATATTGACCAGGCTGATCTCAAACGGCTATTCTCAAAACTGTCCTCCCGCCTTGGCCTCCAAAGGCTGCTGGATTATAGGCGTGAGTCACCAATTCCTGGCCTTACATTTTTTCCTTGGTATCTACTCTGTGCTAGATACTGGATCAGCACTACAGATACATAGATAGTAAGACATGGTCCCTGTCTTCTAGGAGCTTACAATCTTGAGAAGAGAATTGACTGACAGGTAAATAACTAGAGTTGATGAGTGATGTTACGAAGGCACATACAAAACTCTTTTTATTACATCTCATATTGTTCGTTGAGAGTTGTATGTCACACAGGTGGTGGTTAAAACTGTTGAAGTGGGACAGAGCGTGTTACACAGGCCTGTAGTCCCAGCTACTTGAGAGGCTGAGGTGGGAGGATCCCTTGAGTCCAGGAGTTTTAGGTGACAGTGAGCTATGATGGCCCACTGCACTCTAGGCCTGGATGACAAAGTTGAGACCCCCTTCTCTAAAAAAAAAAAAAAAAAAAAAAAACCAAAAATTGGTCGAAGGCATGGTTTTACCTATAAAGGTTTGTAGAGAAAGAAGTAAGAGCCCTGATAAGCGAGGATTCTTGCAGAGGAGAGTGGGAATTGTACTAGTTTAGGATCCAGTAGGAAATAGAAGCTACACCAATTATTTGAATAGAAAATCTTAAAGAATGTTAAGTATGGCTGGGTCAGTGGCTCATGCCCGTTAATCCCAGCACTTCGGGAAAGCTAGGCCAGTGGATCACTGGAAGCAGCGAGTTTCGAGACCAGCCTGGCCAACATGGTGAAAACCGCATCTCTACCAAAAATTAAAAAAAAAAAAAAAAAAAAAAAGGCCAGCGTTGGTGGGTGGGCACCTGTAATCCACCTACTTGGGAGGCTGAAGGCAGGAGAATCACTTGAACCCGGAGGTGGAGGTTGCAGTGAGCTGAGATCACGCCATTGCACCACTGCACTCCAGCCTGGGGTGATACAGTGAGACCCCATTTCAATGAAAAAACTAATTTGGTAAGTAGGTAACTGAAGAAAAAGAGAACCACCAATTTTCATGGAGATAGCAATTATAGAAAACAACTCCCCCACTGGGCTGGGGAAACAAAGGAAAGAGGCTGAAATGGTTAAAACTTAGAGTTTTGAGGAAGGGCCTACTTAATGAAACTCAGACCTCTGAGTGCACTGACTAATAATACTGTTGTCTCTGGAGGAGGAGAGATGCAATAAAGCTGGTTCTTGGAAAAACTGCAGGCTGGATTCAGCTGCTGTCATAGAGTGGCACTGCCACTGCCAGGATAAAGAAGTGCTAAGGTGCCACGGCACCTTAATTTGTAGGTCTGTAGTCCTGGCTTACTCAGGAGATTGAGTTGAGAGGATCACTTGAGCTTAGGAGTTCAAGTCCAACATGGGCAACATAGCAAGATTGTCTCTTAAAAAAAAAAAGGTTAAGGAGATACTTATATGAATGGGAAGACTTATATGAATGGGAAACAGACAGGAAACCCATAGGAAACTAAGAGGAAGGGCAACTCCCTTCTTCCTACAGCCTCACCATCTCTTTCTAGTGCTCATTATTGGCAGAACTTAATGGGTTTCAGCTAGCAAAGCAAAAATGTGATCTGCAGAGTCTAGTCTTAGTATTCTAAGGCAAAGTAGAGGGTGGGTTTTGGAGCTCAAAGACAATAGTGTAATAACTGGTTTGGTCCATTCCTTTGGCTACTTGGTGTCCAGATACCCTTCTCCACATATTTGAACTCCCATAGAAACAAAAACAACTTGGTTTTTACCTAACAAGATGTAACTGTCCTTCATTCATATACTTCATACAGACTAAGCCATTGTCAATTTGTCCACAACATAAGGGGGTTGATAATTATTTTTAAATTCAATCACAGTCCTATATGAATATTCTGTTACCTAAAGACTAAATTTTAAAGCTAACCTCCACCAAAACTTGTTCAACAATAAGGAAAAAAGGAGAGAGAAGAAAATAGTTAATATACAGAAATATATTACAATCTTCATTTTCATAACTGGTCACAAGGATATAGTTGATATTTATCATTTCCTTCTTAATGGGTTTGTTCTATGTATCCTTTGCCCTCAACCAGGGTCTCAACTGGTCAGGGTTTTTACCTGGTAGGGTGTCTCACACCTTCATTCCTGAAAGGTCTGAATCTTTTTTTTTCCCAAGCCAAACTGTATCCAGCTTTATTAAAGATACTTTCATAAACAGTCATGGTATTTCAGGCAGGACATGGGCAGACAGTCATTAACAGTATACAACAACTTTCAAACTCCCTTCTTCAATGGACTACCAAAAATCAGAAAGCCACTATAAACCCAATGAAGTCTTCATCTGATGCTTTGAACAGGGAAAGTTTAGAGTGAGGGTTGACATTTCACATTTAACATGTTGTTTAACACTTTTCGGCCGGGCACGGTGGCTCAAGCCTGTAATCCTAGCACTTTGGGAGGCCGAGACGGGCGGATCACAAGGTCAGCAGATCGAGACCATCCTGGTTAACATGGTGAAACCCTGTCTCTACTAAAAATACAAAAAACTAGCCGGGCGAGGTGGCAGGCGCCTGTAGTCCCAGCTACTCGGGAGGCTGAGCCAGGAGAATGGCGTAAACCCGGGAGGCGGAGCTTGCAGTGAGCTGAGATCTGGCCACTGCACTCCAGCCTGGGCGACAGAGCTAGACTCCGTCTCAAAAAAAAAAAAAAACAAACAAAAAAAAACAACTTTTCACAAGCCAACCCTGGCTTTCAGGAATTGAAATGAAAATGGCAGAATTTATCTGAAGATCCACAATCTAAAAATAGAGCCACTGCTCTTTTGACAGGTGCCATCTCAGTGGCATCACTGGAAGTCCAGATTGTCTGACACACTGGTAGCCAATGACTAGGGTCAGGTCCCAACAGATGTCTGGGTCTTAAGGGAGTTAAGTCTATGCTGAAAGGTGGAAAGGGAGAAGAGGACATAAAAATGAATTTGTTTTTCCATACCACAAGGCTTTTGTGCCTAGGTGGCCATGTGTGTCAAAGTCAGGGAATCCCTCCTCCTGGGAGCCAAGAGGAAGTCTCTCAAAACTAGAAGGGAAAGATGTTTTCCCCACATCAATCCAGCTTTGCAGACTTTCTATTAGTGACATATGCCTCTTCCCCAAAAATATAACCGTGCAGTGTTCTGTGTGCTGACAACATACCTTAAAAAAATTCTGCATTTTATAAAACTTGATAAAAAATAGTATTTCAAACTGTATAGTCACCAGAAGTACACAGTTATCAAAAATGCACACACTTCAGTTGGCATCTCCAGCACCTTCAGCTTTCTGTGCCTGGTCTGTTTTGGCATCTCCATTTTCTGCAGGTTCTTCCCCTCCTTGCCAGCATCCGCTTTTCCCTTTTTCCCTTTGGGTACCTTCTCTCTCTTCTTTGCAGGGGACTTTTTAGGCTTGAGCTCTGGCTTTGGAGAAGCAGATTGCAGACGACCTTGCGGTGTTTGTGGTTCGTCCTTCACCTTGGCGTTATCTCATTTAGCGTCCCCTTCAGCCTTTCTCTTGGGCATGGTGGTAGCAGCGACGGTGGCGGGTTGTAGGCGCTGTGCGCGGGATGCAGCGGTGCACGGGCTTTGGCTGGTCTAGGGGTTGTTCTTACCTCTTCTTCTTCCAAAAGGTCTGAATCTTTAGTGGCTCTTCCTTTTTTTTGGTTGCTGATGTTTTTCATTAACTTTTACTATTGAATATGAGACTAGTAAGAAGAGCCCCGGAGAATACCTGGTTCCAGACATAGTCCTCCTTGCCATTATTGTTAGTGGCAACTGAGTTTCCCCTGGATATTGGGATCAATCATTCCAGGTAGTAGAATAATTCCTTATTTTCCTATTGGTTGAATGACACGAGGCACTCAAAATGGCCAGATGATAGTCACAACTTCTAATTCAATGAAACCATTGTGTGACCTTTCATGGAAGCATTCTTTCCTTAGGAACTAAGATCTTTAGCAGAGCCCAAAGTTGCAGGATAGGATATATTGTGGGCTGAATTTATATGTACCCCCCGGCCCCGGCAAATTTATATGTTGAAGCCCTAACTCTCAGAACCTCTCAATGTGAGTGTATTTGGGGATAGGGCCTTTAAAGAGGTGATTAAGCTAAAATGAGGCAATTAGGATGGACCCTAATCCAATCTGACTAGTATCCTTATAAGAAGAGGAAATTTGAACACACACAGACACCAGGGGTGTGTATACACCAAGCAAAGACCATGTGAGGGCACAGTGAGAAGGTAGCCATCTACAAGCTAGAAAGAGAGGCCTCAGAAGAAACCAAATCTGCTGACACTTTGATCTTGGGCTTTCAACCTCAAGAACTGTGAGAAAATAAATTTCTGTTGTTTAAGCCATCAGGTCTGTGGTATTTTATTATGGAAGCCCTAGTGAGCTATTATAGTATACAAAAATTCTGCAAGTGGGTTAGTAAGTGTAATAGGGAAATGACTCCCACTTTACCCCTTGATTCCCTGACCCATGTATTCTACTGTGGGTAAGACAGCACCTAATGTTGATCACCGCATCAAAATATATACCACATGTAAGATACAACCATATCCTTTCAGAGTGGTGTCTTTCAGGTGGTGGAATAACTGAGTCTTCATAGGCCATTCCACATTCTGTTAGGTCAGGTGATTCCAGGTGATAGAGTATGGGAAAAGAGCAGTGAATTTTATGGGCATGAGCCCATTGCCTCGCTTCTCTTGTGAAATGAGTTCCTTGATCCAGGTGATATTGTGCAGAATACCATGATATTGAATAAGCCATTCTATAAGCTTACAGATGTGTTTTTGGCAGAAATGTTATGGTTTGGGAAGGCAAGTCCATATTCAGAATACATGTTTATTCCAGTGAGGACAAATCTTTGCCTCTCCATGATGGAAGGAGTATAGTGTAATCCATGTGACACCATATAATTGGCTGGTGCCTTCAGGAATGGTGCCATGCTGGGGTCTTAGTGTTGGTCTCTGCTTTTGGCAGGTTAGGCACTCAGTCGTGGCAGTAATCAATTTAGCCTTGACAAGGGAAAGTCCATGTTGTTGAGCCCAGTGCATAGCCTCCAGCTCTGCCACCATAGCCACCTTGTACTTGGATCCACTGAATAAGTACTTGATGGCTAGGGAAAGAGGTGGATTAACATTCACAAAATGTGCCATTTTGACTACCTGGTTATTGAGAATCTCTTCTATAATAGAAGTTCTTTAGAGAGCATTCACACAAGAGACAAATATCTTCCCACTTTATGCTCCCTCTGAAAGGCCCGTCTTCTTCTCCAGGCCTCATTGTCACCAATCTTTCCTTTTTTTCTCTTTTTTGAGACAGAGCCTCACTCTGTTGCCCAGGCTGGAGTGTAGTGGCGCAATCTTGGCTCCCTACAGCCTCTGCCTCCCAGGTTCAAGTGATTCTCCTGCCTCAGCCTCCGGAGTAGCTGGGATTACAGATGTGCGCCACCATGCCTGACTAATTTTTTTTTTTTTTTTTGAGATGGAGTCTCGCTCTGTTGCCCAGGCTGGAGTGCAGTGGCACGATCTTGGCTTACTGCAAGCTCCGCCTCGCAAGTTCATGCCATTCTTCTGCCTCAGCCTCCCAAGTAGCTGGGACTACAGGTGCCCGCCATCATGCCTGGCTAATTTTTTTTGTATTTTTAGTAGAGACAGGGTTTCACCGTGTTAGCCAGGATGGTCTCGACCTCCTGACCTAATGATCCACCCATCTTGGCCTCCCAAAGTGCTGGGATTACAGGCATAAGCCACCATGCCTGGCCTAGTCACCAGTCTTTCAATTGTGTCTTTCTCAAGTCTCTGACCATCAAGCCAAAGAGTTAGCAGCTGCTCATAAGTCAATATGATCTGTATGTACTTCTGACCATCTCTCAGTCTAGCTAATGCAGACAATGTACCACTTGAAGTTCTGACCACCCAGGGTATTTCCCTTCATCATTTTCCTTCTAGGCCACCCTTGAGTGGGGCCACAATCCTACAGCCATCCACTTCTCGTTGGTACTAGTGTAGCTTGCAGAACCATCATCAGACCTCAGAAACTTCACCCAGTTGGAGAGCACTAGAGGAAGACTAAGCGTCAGGCAAGAAGGACTTGCTCCTTCCTCATGGTTCCTGTTTGCTTTCTGCCTGCTTCTTGTTTCTGTCCTGTTAGCCTAGAATGCTTCTTGACCCTGCAGTGACAGAACCTTCCCACAGCAGTTGCTGAATTTAGTTTGCAGCTTTTCCAACCCTACAGAATCTCTCCTCAAAGCCACCAGCAGAAGTACCACAAATGAGTGTAGAGAAGGGTGGGTTTGGAGCTGAGAGATAATGTTGTAATAATTGGCACAGGAACTTGCCTATAATTCTTTTTTTTAGTATATGTAAAGGAGCAAACTGAGGAAGGAAAAAGTAGAGATAATATAAAATAGCGGTTTTCAGCCAGGTGCAGTGGCTCACACCTATAATCCCTGCACTTTAGGAGGCCGAGGCAGGTGGATCACCTGAGGTTAGGAGTTGGAGACCAGCCTGGCCAACATGATGAAACCCCGTCTCTACTAAAAGTACAAAAAATTTGCCGGGCATGGTGGCAGGTGCCTGTAGTCCCAGCTACTCGGGAGGCCGAGGCAGGAGAATGGCGTAAACTCGGGAGGCGGAGCTTGCAGTGAGCCGAGATCCGGCCACTGCACCCCAGCCTGGGCAACAGAGCGAGACTCCGTCTCAAAAAAAAAACACCAAAAAACAAAAAACACGCCTGTAATCTGAGCACTTTGGGAGGCCAAGGCGGGCAAATCACGAGGCCAGGATATCGAGATCATCCTGGCTAACACGGTGAAATCCCATCTCTACTGAAAAAAAAAAATACAAAAAATTAGCTGGGCGTGGTGGCGGATGCCTGTAGTCCCAGCTACTCGGGAGGCTGAGGCAGGAGAATGACGTGAACCCGGGGGCGGAGCTTGCAGTGAGCCAAGATCGCGCCACTGCACTCCAGCCTGGGAGACAGAGCAAGACTCCATCTCAAAAACAAAAAAACTAGCCAGGCGAGGTGGCGGGCTCCTGTAGTCCCAGCTACTCGGGAGGCTGAGCCTGGAGAATGGCGTAAACCCGGGAGGCGGAGCTTGCAGTGAGCTGAGATCCGGCCACTGCTGCACTCCAGCTTGGGCGACAGAGCGAGACTCCGTCTCAAAAAAAAAAAAAAAAAAAAAAGCAGTTTTCAAACCTGGCTTCACAATAGACTTACCTGGAGAACTTTAGAAATACACTAGAATTTTATATTTAGAAAACTATTTTAAAGTATAAAACATATTTAAATATATTTAAGTATATTTAAATAGAAATATATTTATGTGGAGCTATATATATATATATATATATATATATATATTCACATTAAACAATATATTGGGCTCCCTTAGACATTCAGTTGGCCTGGGGTGGGACTTGGGCATTAGTTTTTTTTTTTTTTGAGACGGAGTCTTGCTGTGTCACCCAAGCTGGAGTGCAGTGGCGCGATCTCGGCTCACTATAAGCTCCGCCTGCCGGGTTACATCATTCTCCTGCCTCAGCCTCCCGAGTAGCTGGGACTACAGGCGCCCGCCACCATACCTGGCTAATTTTTTTGTATTTTTAGTAGAGATGGGGTTTCACCATGTTAGCCAGGATGGTCTCGATCTCCTGACCTCGTGATCCTCCCATCTCGGCCTTTCAAAGTGCTGGGATTACAGGTGTGAACCACCGTGCCCGGTCGGGCATTAGTATTTTTTTTAAAGCTTCCTAGGTGAGTCTAATGTGCAGCCTGAGTTGAGAACCACTGATACAAAACAAAGAAGGCCAGGCATGGTGACTCACACCTATAATCCCAGCACGTTGGGAGACAGGCAGGAGGATTGCTGAAGCCCAAGCATGTGAGATTACCCTGGAAAGCATAGCAAGACTCTGTCTCTTAAAAAAAAAATGAAAAACTTAGCCAGGCGTGGTGGCATGTACCTGTAGTCCCAGCTACTCAAGAGGCTGAGTGGGAGGATTGCTTGAGCCCAAGAGTTGAAGGCTGCAGTGAGCTATGATCACACCACTGCACTTTAGCCCAATGACCCTGTCTCTAAACAAAACAAAAACAAAATCAAAAGAAAAAAACAAAGAAACCAGAACTCCTTTAGTTTGGATGTGCACACAGTTTTTTTTTTTTTTGAGACGGAGTTTTCTTTTGTTGCCCATGCTGGAGTGCAATGGCACAATCTCAGCCCACTGCAACCTCCACCTCCCGGATTCAAGCAATTCTCCTGCCTCAGCCTCCTGAGTAGCTGGGATTACAGGCATGCGCCTCCATGCCCGGCTAATTTCGTATTTCTAGTAGAGACAGGATTTCTCCATGTTGGTCAGGCTGGTCTCGAACTCCTGATCTCAGGTGATGCGGCTGCCTCAGCCTCCCAAAGTGCTGGGATTACAGGTGTGAGCCACCGTGCCCAGCCTGTGCACACATAATTAAATGGAAGAAATAGAAAAGAATAATTCCAATTAGCCCATGCAAATTACTACCTGCACTGACTGAGTAGAAGGGCCACGGAAGGTGGAGTCTGGGTTGGGGGTGCCTCCTGATTAGTAATACTATTGTGTCTGTTCAGTCATTATTCAGCTCACAACGCAGCTGAAGCTGGAGCAGACCACCCGTTGCCTGCTGGATGAGTGCCACAAAGAGGTCGGTAAATAGCTATGGGTTCTTGAGGTCTCAGAATCCTCAGATGTCAGAGCTGGGTCAACCCTTCCTTGAACAAATGAGAGCTTGAAGTTCAGGGAAGAAAAGGAACTTTCCTGAGGTCACCGAGTTGGTGGCAGAGTCAGAGCTAAGGCCTGGGTCCACTGATCCTGCTCTAGTGTTCTTTACAGCTTTCTTCTTTCCCCTTTCAGTCTCCCAAATGTTACCTCCATGCAGTGAAGTGCCATCTTTCTGGCATAATCATCCCATGGTCCATTTTCTGTGACTTCCTGATTATAATACAGATTTCCTTGATGAATTTATCAAGGAAATATGTTCTCTATGTCTCGGTTTGGTGGTTTTATTTTATTTTAAATTGTATACATTACTTAGTACTGAAGGTGTTTGGTTCTATCAGCTTACTTTGTACTGAAGGCGTTTGCTTCTATCAGCTTACTTTGTACTGAAGGCGTTTGCTTCTATCTGAGGTAAGCATTGAGTGGATATGGTATATTTAATCTGCTTTCTTCAGTGTAGTCAAAGAAATCAGTTAGCCAGGTGTGATGGCTTACGCCTATAATCCCAGCACTTTGGGAGGCTGAGGTGGGTGGATCACTTGAGGTCAGGAGTTCGCGATCAGCCTGGCCAATATGGTGAAACCCCATCTCTACTAAAAATACAAAAAAAAAAAAAAAATTAGCTGGGCATGGTGGTGCATGCCTGTAATCCCAGTTACTGGGGAGGCTGAGGCAGGGGAATTGATTGAACCCAGGAGGTAGAGTTTGCAGTGAGCTGAGATCACACCACTGCACCCCAGCCTGGGTGACAAAGCAAGACTCCATCTCAAAAAAAAAAAAAAAAAAAAAAAAAAATCAATTAAAGAGCAGCTTTTGTGTTGTATTTAAGACTGAGGAATAATATCAGAATAACTTTTTTTTTTTTTTTTTTGAGATGGAGTCTTGCTCTGTCGCCCAGACTGGAGTTCAGTGGCCGGATCTCAGCTCACTGCAAGCTCTGCCTCCCTGGGTTCACGCCATTCTCCTGCCTCAGCCTCCCGAGTAACTGGGATTACAGGTGCCCACCACCTCGCCCGGCTAATTTTTTGTATTTTTTAGTAGAGACGGGGTTTCACCGGGTTAGCCAGGATGGTCTCCATCTCCTGACTTCGTGATCCGCCTGCCTCGGCCTCCCAAAGTGCTGGGATTACAGGCTTGAGCCACTGCGCCCGGCCCAGAATAACTTTTTATTTAATTTGCAGAACGAAGACAAATGTTTATCTTGTTACCACCATGAAGAGCAACATTTCATTATAAATTATATTTCAATTATATCATAATTATTTTACATGTGATTAATATATCAAATTGAATTTATAATTATATATATCAGTGCTTATCATTATGATGAGATGATGCCACTTAACATTTATTGAGCACTTTCTATAGGCTAGGCATTGTATTAGGTGGTTTATATGTAATATCTCATTCAGCCCTATCAACAACCCTATAAAGCTGTTACTATTATTATTTCCCACCAGAGTTAAGAATATTACTAAAAGTGGTATGACTAGCTAGTCAATAGAAAAGGTAAAATATATGGCCGGGCGTGGTGGCTCAAGCCTGTAATCCTAGCACTTTGGGAGGCCGAGGCAGGTGGATCACGAGGTCAGGAGATTGAGACCATCCTGGCTAACATGGTGAAACCCCGTCTCTACTAAAAATACAAAAGAAAAAAAAAACTAGCCAGGGGAGGTGGTGGGCGCCTGTAGTCCCAGCTACTTGGAGGCTGAGGTGGGAGAATGGCATGAACTCAGGAGGTGGAGCTTGCAGTGAGCCGAGATCGCACCACTGCACTCCAGCCTGGGAGACACAGTGAGACTCCGTCTCAAAAAAAAAAAGGAAAGGTAAAATATGGATTATTGACTCTCCCTGTAAAGCATGAACCATAGTGCCTGGTATACAGAGAATGTTTAGTAATAGTAGCTATAATAACTATAATAACAATAATTTTTTTTCACATTGAGTCAGTGTTCTGTCTTTATGACATTTCAAACTTTTGTCCTCCAACTTCTGGTTCTATGGGGGCAAACTATGCAAATGTTAATTCAGTTTAACAAACATGCACTGAGCTAGGTGCTGAGGACTCTGAGAGGACTCAGTCCCTTTCCTCCAGGAGTTCTCAGTCCAATGGGGAAGTTGGACACTAAGCTAAAAAAGCTGATTGCTGACTGTGGTGAGAGACACATGCAATACAGGCATTGGTGTGGGTAGGGCAAGATGAGTTTTGGTGGAAGATCTGTCCTGATCCTAATTGACAGAATGGGGCATATTCACTTTCTGTAGCTGTGTAACATGCCCTCCATGCGAGGCAGCCTGGCCACCCTGACCCTTCTTGGCAAGTTGGTGGATGCCATTCCTGCTCTGGCAGATGAGCTTGTAATGGAGCACGGTGAGTGACCTGTGGGAGGAGCTGCCACTACTCTTTTACCTGCTTTTATTATACTGCCATCTGGGTACCCCATTTACTCTGTACACCTGGGAAGTCATTACTTTCCTGCTCTAGTCTTCAGTTTCCCCATCTGCAAAATGTACTGTATGTTGGTCAATTTGAAAAAGGTCATTTTCTTGACTCTATTCTTGGACTATTTCCATTCATTCTTTTTTTTTTTTTTTGAGACGGAGTCTCTCTTTTGTTGCCCAGGCTGGAGTGCAATGGCGCAATCTCGACTCTCTGCAACCTCTACCTCCTGGGTTCAAGCGATTCTCCTGTCTCAGCCTCCCGAGTAGCTGGGATTACAGGCATGTGCCACCATGCCGGGCTAATTTTGTATTTTCAGTACAGACAGGGTTTCTCCATGTTGATCAGGCTGGTCTCGATCTCCCAACCTCAGGTGATCCACCAGCCACAACCTCCCAAAGTGCTGGGATTACAGGCATGAGCCACCGCACCCGGCCTTCCATTCATTCTTTTTTTTCTTTTTTTTTTTTTTTTTGAGACGGAGTCTTGCTCTGTCACCCAGGCTGGAGTGCAGTGGCCGGATCTCAGCTCACTGCAAGCTCCGCCTCCCGGGTTTATGCCGTTCTCCTGCCTCAGCCTCCCGAGTAGCTGGGACTACAGGCGCCCGCCACCTCGCCCGGCTAGTTTTTTGTATTTTTTAGTAGAGACGGGGTTTCACCGTGTTAGCCGGGATCGTCTCTCGATCTCCTGAGCTCGTGATCCGCCCGTCTCGGCCTCCCAAAGTGCTGGGATTTCATTCTTTTTTTTTCTGAGACGAGTCTTGCTCTGTCGCCCAGGCTGGAGTGCAGTGGTGTGATCTCGGCTCACTGCAAGCTCCACCTCCCGGGTTCACGCCATTCTTCTGCCTCAGCCTCCTGAGTAGCAGGGACTACGGGTGCCTGCCACCACGCCTGGCTAATTTTTTGTATTTTTAGTAGAGACGGGGTTTCACCATGTTAGCCAGGATGGTCTCGATCTCCTGACCTCGTGATTCGCCTGCCTCAGCCTTCCAGAGTGCTGGGATTATAGGTGTGAGCCACCACGCCTGGCTCTGTTCATTCTTTAACACACATTAATTAAGTACCTACTATGAACCTTCGTTTTGGATGGAAGGAGGAATTCTGGAATGTAGAAGCACTTTTTTCTATCAGTGAAATGCAAATAAATACCTCACAGAGGATTTACCAAAGGGTAAATAACCTCTTTAAGTTGGTTTCCCCTTGTTTAAAAAATTAATAATAATAATAATTATTATTTTTTAAGACAGAGTCTGTTCCCCAGGCTAGAGTGCAGTGGCATGATCTTGGCTCGCTGTAACCTCTGCCTCCTAGGTTCAAGTGATTTTCCTGCTTCAGCCTCCCGAGTAGCTGGGATTATAGGTGTCCACCACCATGCCAGGTTAATTTTTGTATTTTTAGTAGAAGTGGGGTTTCGCCGTGTTGGCCAGACTGGTCTCAAACTCCTGACTTCAAGTGATCTGCCCACCTCGGCCTCCCAAAGTGGTGGGGTTACAGCCATGAGGCACTGTGCCCAGCCTAATTATTATTATTTTTTAGAGACCAGGTCTCACTAGGTAGAGCAGGTTGGTCTCAAACTGCTGGCCTGAAGTGATCCTCCCACCTTGGCCTCCCAAAGTGCTGAGATTACAGGAATAAGCCACTGCACCTGGCTTTGTTTCTTTTTTTTTTTTTGAAATGGAGTCTCGCTCTGTTGCCCAGGCTGGAGTGCGGTGGTGTGATCTCAGCTCACTGCCACCTCTGCCTCGTGGGTTCCAGTGATTCTCCTGCCTCAGCTTCCCAAGTAGCTGGGGTTACAGGCGCCTGCCAGCATGCCCGGCTAATTTTTGTATTTTTAGTAGATGCAGGGTCTTGCCTTGTTGGCCAGGCTGGTTTCGAACTCCTGAACTCAGGTGATCCTACCGCCTTGGCCTTCCCAAGTGCTGGGGTTACAGGTGTGAGCCACTGTGCCCAGTTGGTTTTCCCTTTACATTAAGTATGCAGAAAGCATTTATTGTGGGGGATTATAGGGACTTACCATTACTACCCCATTAGGAATAATAGATTGGAGTTTCACATAGCAGTTGACATTGTGAAATTTCCCCTGGCTCCTTGGTTGTTTTCTGAACAGGAAACCTGATGGAGCATCTGTTGAGAGGCTTAGTATACCCCAGTGAGGGCATACAAGCTTCTGTCTGTTACCTTTATGGGAAGCTATACTCCTCACCCGTGGCAGCTGAGATGCTTTCAGGACACTTCCGGGAGAAGCTTTTTCCCCTCTTCCTTTCCATCCTGGATGGTGCCCAGACAAAGGAGCTGCAGATTAACTGCTTGGGTAAGACATGAGGCTGGAGAAAAAGGGAGAATACGTTTTTGACATTTTGCTAGAAGACTTGAGATATTGGGTTCTCTAGTAGTGGGGAAGTTAGATGTTTTGCAAAAGGTAGAAGCCACAAGGTTTGAGAGATAAGAGGCACACTGTGTGAAAGATGCCTAGAATTAGTATGATATCTTAAGAATGTTGCCTTTGGAGGAAAATAGGAAGGAAAGTGGGACAGCAATTTTTTCTGCCTTTGTCTGCCCTGGTGCATCCTGTATTTGCTGGCAAGTTAATCTTTACATTGTACAGCTCACATCCTGTCACTTTCTTAAGTCAGAAATTCTTCCATGGTTCCCTCTGGCCTCCAGGGTAAAGCCCATGTGTCTTAGTGCATTTTATGCTGCTATAACAGGATACTACAGACTAGGTAATTTATAATGAAAAACTTATTGGTTCAAAAATTTTTTGGTTTGCAGTTCTGGAGCCTAGGAAGTCCAAGATCAAGAGGCTGGCATTTGGTAAATCCCCTCTTGCTCTGTCATCCCATGGTGGAAGGGCAAAGAGAGGGCAAGAGAAAAAGCTAGAGGGGACTGAACTTGTCCCTTTTTTTCTTTTTTCCTTTTTTTTTTTTTTTTGAGACAGAGCCTTGCTCTGTTGTCCAGCTTGAGTCCAGTGGTGCGTTCTCAGCTCACTGCAACCTCTGCCTCCCGGGTTCAAGTGATTCTTCTGCCTCAGCCTCCTGAGTAGCTAGGATTACAGGTGCCCACCACCACATCCGGCCAATTTTTGTATTTTTAGTGGAAATGGGGTTTTACCATGTTGGCCAGGCTGGTCTCAAACTCCTGACCTCAGGTGATCTGCCCACCTCGCCTTCCCCAAGTGCTGGGATTATAGGCGCAAGCCGCTGCGCCTGGCCTGAACTTGTCCTTTTATGAGGAGCCCACTCTCATGATAACAAACCCACTCCCATGGTGATGGCATTAATTCATTCATGAGGGTCCAAACCCAAACCCCAAACTCATGACCCAAACACCATCCATAGGCCCCAGCTCCCAATATGGCTGCATTGGGGATTAAGTTTCCAACACATGAACTTTGGGGAACATATTCAAACCATGGCACTAGGTTTCCCTGCTTGTTACCTGAGGCTCTTTAGAAGCCCCAACATATACTTTTAGCATCCTCTCCTATTTTTTTGCATAAATACATAAGGTCTCTCAACTGTTCTGAGCAGGCAGATTTCTTATTTTGGACAGAACAGATGGGCACTGTGATTGGTGCCTGGGTGAGGGCCTGTTCTCAGGTAAAAGCTGTAGAGAAATGCACAGTCTATGCGTGACAACAGCTTCTTTTCAAAATTTGGATCAGGAGCTGTTATGAATAATCTAGCCATACATAGTGAGCATTCATTCTATACCAGGCCTTGTGCTGGGCTCTGAGGTCACAGAGTTGATCAAATTCAAGCTTTATCTTAGGGGAGCTCAAAGGCCAGTGTAGAAGACACACATGGACAACTAGAGTCTAGTGTGATGAGTGCTGTCTTAGAGGTGCACAGAAGAGGATGGGAGCAGGGGACAGGAGAAGCTTCCTAAAGAAAAGGATGCCTGGACTGAGTCCTAAATTGTGGGGAAAGGAGGAAGGCAGGAGCATGGACCAGAGCACAAGGTATGAAGCAGCCTGTATCTGCGGTAACTTGCAGCAGGGCAGTATTGGAGTTAGTGCATATAGAACAAAAGGGTGCAAGTACAGGCCGTAAGGTGAGGCCCTGGGCAGTCCTACAGCTCACCTGACCATAGTAGAGGGAAATCTCAACTGGTAATACTGGGAATTCCCACTTTTATTTTTTAAAATTTTTATTTACTTATTTATTTTGAGACGGGGTCTTGTTCTGTCACCCAGGCTGGAGTGCAGTGGTAGGATCACAGCTCACTGCATCCTTGACCTCCAGGGCTTAAATGATCTTCCCACCTCAGCCTACCGAGTAGCTGGAACCACAAACCTACACTACCATGCCTGGCTAATTTTTTTTTTTTTTTGACTCCAGCTCTGTCACCCAGGCTGGAATGCAGTGGCATAATCTCAGCTCACCGCAAGCTCCACCTCCCGGGTTCACGCCATTCTCCTGCCTCAGTCTCCAGAGTAACTGGGACTACAGGTGTCTGCCACCACACCTGGCTCTTTTTTTTTTTTTTTTGTATTTTTAGTAAAGACGGGGTTTCATCATGTTAGCTAGGATGGTCTTGATCTACTGAACTCATGGTCCACCCGCCTCGGCCTCCCCAGGATATGCCCGCCTCGGCCTCCCAAAGTGCTGGGAGCCACTGCCTTAGCCACTGAGCTGGGAGCCACCATTAGCCACCGGTGGCACATTAGCCACCACACCCATTTTTTTTTTTTTTTTTTTTTTTGAGACACAGTCTTGCTCTGTTGCCCAGGCTGGAGTGCAATGGTGCAATCTCGGCTCACTGCAACCTCTGCCTCCCAGGTTCAAGCGATTCTCCTGCCTCAGCCCCCTGAGTAGCTAGGACTACAGGCGCCTGCCACCACACCCGGCTAATTTTTTGTATTTTTAGAAGAGGCGGGGTTTCACCGTGTTAGCCAGAACAGTCTCCATCTCCTGACCTTGTGATTCGCCCGCCTTGGCCTCCCAAAGTGCTGGGATTACAGGTGTGAGCCACCGCACCCAGCCCATGCCTGGCTAATTAAAAAAAAATTTTGTAAAGTCTGGGTCTCATTATATTGCCCAGGCTGGTCTCGAACTGCTGGGCTCAAGAGATCCACGTGCCTTGGACTTCTCAAGTGCTAGGATTACAGGCATGAGCCACCACACCCAGCCAGAATTTCTGTTTTTAAATGCTACCTCTTTTTTTTTTTATTTATTATTTATTTATTTTTTTATTTTTATTTTTTTTTTTTTTGAGACAGAGTCTCACTCTGTCGCCCAGGCTGGAGTGCAGTGGCCGGATCTCAGCTCACTGCAAGCTCCGCCTCCCGGGTTTACACCATTCTCCTGCCTCAGCCTCCTGAGTAGCTGGGACTACAGGCGCCCGCCACCTCGCCCGGCTAGTTTTTTGTGTTTTTTAGTAGAGACGGGGTTTCACGGGGTTAGCCAGGATGGTCTCGATCTCCTGAGCTCGTGATCCGCCCGTCTCGGCCTCCCAAAGTGCTGGGATTACAGGCTTGAGCCACCGCGCCCGGCCTTTAATTTTTTTTTTGAGATGGAGTCTCTCTCTGTCACCAGGCTAGAATGCAGTAGCATGATCTCAGCTCACTGCAACCTCCACCTCCCAGATTCAAGTGATTCTTCTGCCACGGCCTCCCGAGTAGCTGGGACTACAGGCGTGTGCCACCATACCCAGCTAATTTTTGTATTTTTAGTAGAAATGGGGTTTCACCATGTTGTCCAGGATGGTCTCAATTTCTTGACCTCGTGATCCGCCTGCTTTGGCCTCCCAAAGTATTGGGATTACAGGCATGAGCCACCGCGCCCAGCCTCTTTTTTTTTTTTTTTTTTTTAAATAATAAAAAAAATTCACCCTATGCATGTTTGTCAGACCCGAGGGCCTCATTTATCCTGGTCAAGGGGAGTGCTAACTTTCTCTCCTTTCAGACAACACTTTAAAGGCCACCTCTTCTCTGGAGCCTTGCCTTCCCACCCTCTCCCCTTAGCCAGGGGTGTAGTCACATCCTTTGGACCCTTGAAGCACTATGGGTCTTATATTCTGTCTTATATCATCTTATTCACTTACTTTACAACCCAAGATCCTCATAAGTTCTTATTTTATTTAATTTATTATTTTTAAAGATGGGACCTTGTTCTGTTGCCCAGGCTGAAGTACAGTAGCATGTTCATAGCTCACTGCAGCCTCGAACTCCTGGCCTCAAGTGATCCTTCCACCTTAATCTCCCAAGTAGCTGGTATTACAGGGGCACGCCACCTTGCCAGGCATTTTAATTTTTTTGTGTATATGTAGAGATGGGGTCCCACTATGCTCATAAACTGTTTATGGTCTAATCCTTATTAACCTCTCAAGCCTCATCTCTCACTTCTCTATCTGTCCCCACCCTAACTCAGCCTTACTGAACCAAATGCATCTCCAGGAACACACCATGCTCTCCTGCCTTTATATACTCCTCTGCCCAGAAGTTGGCTCGCATCCAACTTCTCATCCTTCAAGATTTGGTTCAAATACCTTCTTACAGAAGCCTTCCCTGAGCCTCCAGGCTAGATTAGATGCTTCATTTGATTTCCCATGGTCCTCTGGGCTTTTTTCCACATTATTTAATTTTAATATTTAATATTCTGACAAGCATTTCTTTACTTGTTAAAGTATGTATTATTTGGAACACTTTAGTGACTTACCATGAATCCCAGCATAGGGACCAGAATCCTTAACATAGCTTATGTGGTCTTTTGTGACTACTTCTCAAACATAATTTCTGGACTTTTTTTTACCCCCAACCATTCTGGCTTTCTTTCACTTTCTGGAATGTTGTTCTCTATACCTAGAATACTTCTCCTTACTTCACCTAGTTTTGCCTACTTATCTTTCAGGTTCAGTTTAAATGGTACTTGCTGATGGAAGGCTTTACTGATCCCCCACACTAGGGGATTTTATGTATATAAAATCCTTATATACATTTTCATGTATTTGGGTACTTCTCATTTATATCATTTATCACAATTACAAGGGTCATTTGTCTGAATTTTTTTTTTTTTTTTTTTTGAAACAGACTTTCACTCTGTCATCCAGGATGGAGTGCAGTGATGCGATCTCAGTTCACTGCAACCTGTGCCTGCTGGGTTCAAGTGATTCTCCTGCCTCAGCCTCCTGAGTAGTTGGAACTACAGGCACATGCCACCATGCCAGGCTACTTTTTGTATTTTTTACTAGAAAGGGGTTTCACCATGTTGGCCAGGCTGGTCTTGAACTCCTGACCTCAAGTGATACACCCGCCTCGGCCTCCCAAAGTGCTGGGATTACAGGTGTGAGCCACCATGCCTGGCCTTGTCTGACTTGTTTTTGTGCTTGTTTCTCCTACAGGAGTGTATGCTCCCTTTGTTAGTCAAAAAATATTTCTTGAGTTCCTGCTATGTGTCAGGAACTGTGCCAGGTGATGTTATGGTGAAAAAATTCACATTATTCCTGCCCTCATGAAACTTTTAGTTGAGTGGAGCAGTCGGGCTATGTTTATCTTGCTTACTTTTGAATCCCTAGACCCTTAGGCCTAGCACTTAGTGGGCTCTCACTAGATCTGTATGGAAGAGAGCTGGGTGCAAAAAGCAAATTGGTACTTAAGGATTCTAACCATTCTTCGTATTTATGGAGGCATGAAGAAATTTCTCTTGGGATGTCTGAAGGGCTATCTTGGGAGGACTCTGGTGCCTGTGTTCCTCTCTCCTTACTTCCCAATCCCTTTGTTTCCTAGGTTTACTGAGGCAGCTGTTGAAGTATGATCTCTTTGTGTCCATGATCATGAACAAGGATGAACTGGGAGAAAGTGCTAAGAATATCGAAGGGTCATCAGGAGATACCTCACTGCCTTTGGTGCTCAAAAAGGTAATTGTCTTGTGATTCTTGGTCTCTAGGTTCAATAACAAGGGGACCCAAGTGCTTCTTGTGCCTCATCTTCATCTACCACTCCTATCTCAGGTTTCCAAGTGTTTTCTTACTGCGCAAAACAATATACTGGCTGGGGGTGGTGGCTCATGTCTGTAGTCCCAGCACTTTGGGAGGCCTAGGTCGGTGGATTGCTTGAGCCCAGGAGTGCAAGACCAGCTTGGGCAACATGGCAAAACCCTGTCTCTATAAAAAATACAAAAAACGGCCAGGCGTGGTGGCTCAAGCCTGTAATCCCAGCACTTTGGGAGGCCGAGACGGGCGGATCACGAGGTCAGGAGATCGAAACCATCCTGGCTGACACGGTGAAACCCCGTCTCTACTAAAAAATACAAAAAACTAGCCGGGCGAGGTGGCGGGCGCCTGTAGTCCCAGCTACTCAGGAGGCTGAGGCAGGAGAATGGCGTGAACCCGGGAGGCAGAGCTTGCAGTGAGCCGAGATCTGGCCACTGCACTCCAGCCTGGGCGGCAGAGCGAGACTCCGTCTCAAAAAAAAAAAAAAAACAAAAAAAAAAAAACCAAAAACTTGGGCGTGGTGGCTCACGCCTGTAATCCCAGCACTTTGGGAGGCCAAGGCTGGTGGATCACAAGGTCAAGAGATCGAGACCATCCTGGCCCACATAGTGAAACCCCGTCTCTATTAAAAATACAAAAATTAGCTGGGCATGGTGGCATGCGCCTGTAGTTTCAGCTACTCAGGAGACTGAGGCAGGAGAATCCCTTGAACCTGGGAGGTGGAGGTTGCAGTAAGCCAAGACCACGCCACTGCACTCCAGCCTGGTAACAAAGCGAGACTCCGTCTCAAAAAAAAAAAAAAAAAAGGGCGTGGTGGTGCGCACTTGTAATCCCAGCTACTCAGGAGGCTGAGGTGGGAGGATTGCTCGAACCCAGGAGGCGGAGGTTGCAGTGAGCCACGATCATGCCACTACACTCCACCCTGGGTGATAGAAAGTAGGTTTCCTGGCTGGGCGCGGTGGCTCAAGCCTGTAATCCCAGCACTTTGGGAGGCCGAGATGGGCGGATCACGAGGTCAGGAGATCGAGACCATCCTGGCTAACACGGTGAAACCTCGTCTCTACTAAAAATACAAAAAAACTAGCCGGGCGAGGTGGCGGGCGCCTGTAGTCCCAGCTGCTTGGGAGGCTGAGGCAGGAGAATGGCGTAAACCCGGAGGCAGAGCTTGCAGTGAGCTGAGATCTGGCCACTGCACTCCAGCCTGGGCGGCAGAGCCAGACTCCGTCTCAACAACAACAAAAAAAAAAAAAAAAAAAAAAGAAAGTAGGTTTCCTTTCATTTGTAAATTCTTTTTTTTTTTTTTTTAAGTGTCGAGGTCTTGCTCTATCCACTCAGGCTGGAATGTAGTGGCACAGTCACAGCTCACTGCAGCCTCAGCCTCCTGGGCTCAAGCAATCCTCTTGTCTCAGCTTCCTGAGTAGTTGAGACTACAGGTGTTTGCTGTGAGGCGTGGCTAATTTTTAATTTTTTGTAGAGACAGGATCTTTCTGTGTTGTCTGGGCTGGTCTCAACTCCTGGGCTCAAGTGATCCTCCCACCTTGGCCTCCAAAATTCTGGGATTACAGGTATGAGCCACTGCACCCAGCCTCAGTTGTAAATTCTTCTTTTTTTTTTTTTGAGATGGAGTCTCGCTCTGTCGCCCAGGCCCAGGCTGGTGTGCAGTGGCGTGATCTTGGCTCACTACAACCTCCGCCTCCCAGGCTCAAGCAATTCTCCTGCCTCAGCCTCCTGAGTAGTTGGGATTACAGGCGCCAAGCCACCATGCCTGGGTAATTTTTTGCATTTTTAGAAGAGACGGGGCTTCACCATGCTGGCCAGGCTGGTCTCTAACTCCTGACCTTGTGATCTGCCTGCCTCGGCCTCCCAAAATGCTAGGATTACAGGCATGAGCCCCCATGCCTGGCCGTAAATTCTTACCTCTACACTTCCCCTTCACATCTGGGCTGCCTGAAAATGGAGAATACTTACAGCAATAGAAACAAAGTCACCTCAGTTGCTTTAGGGATCAGCTTCTGAGCTTGGTACTGAGAACCCTCTTTATCTGGATCTTGCTCATTCCTTCAGCCTCACTTTCCTGTCTCTTCTACCCCATGTGTGCTCCAGCCACATGCAATCTTTCCGTAGTCCTGCATATGCTAGGTAATCCTGTCTCAGTGCCTGTGCAGTTGCTCTTCCTCTGTCTATAGGGCCTTTCTCCTCTCTTTATCTGCTAATCTGAGTCAGCCTTCAAGCCTATAGGACTCCCTGTCACCCTGGCTCCTTTAGGCAGAATGTGACCCACTGTCACAGTGCTTACCTTATACCGTATTGTGGTTGACTGGCTGGGAGCTCCTTCAGGGCAAAACCTGAGTCTGGCATCTTTCCCCAGTGCTCAGCACAGGGACTCGCAGAGCTGCAAACCCTCATGTGATAGCAGGGGTTCATTGCCCAAACTCTGGGGCTCTTTCTGCAGCAAGGAAGAGGAGAAGGAGCTCTGGTTAGAAGTGAGAAGGGAGGCCGGGTGCAGTGGCTTATGCCTGTAATCCCAGCACTTTGGGAGGCCGAGACGGGTGGATCATGAGGTCAGGAGTATGAGACCAGCCTGGCCAACATGGTGAAACTCTGTCTCTACTAAAAATACAAAAATTAGCTGGGCGTGGTGGCATGTGCCTGTAATCCCAGCTATTCGGGATGCTGAGGCAGGAGAATATAGCAAGAAAAGGTTTGTCCTGAGACTATAGTAAGAAAAGAAAAGAACTGACTTCTAAAGAAAATAGTTTAGTCCATTTCAGAGTTTAAATGTCACTCATCAAGTATAATGAGCTAGGATCAGCTTTCTGACTTAGGAATCATACATGTATTCCATAAGTTTTAGTGCAGTTTTAAGCTGTAATAACTAACTTAAAAGCAGTTACTGTTGCCATTTTCAAACATAGGTACATAAACAACAACAGGGAAACCTAAAAATGTGTTATCAAGTCACAAAATTGAAGTGTAATGAAATTTAACCAATTAAACTTCAAAAAAAGAATATTTTAAACCAAGAATCATTGTTTTAATGGATACATATCATATTTCTTTGATTCTGAGATACATTTTTTTCACATTTTAACTGCTCTGAAATTGGGAGACATTTTACCATCAACGGTGCATCATAGTTTAATTGGTAGCACTTTTTCTTTCTTAGTGGTACATAAAATAATGGCTCGCCTTACATCACTAGCATCTTAAAATAAAATACAGTATGTCATTTATTTTATAAAAGGGAACAAGATAAATATTACTTTCTAAACTCCTTTATATACTATCAGAAAATCTGGCTTTTTTTTTTTTCTTTTCCTGACAAACAGGGAGTCTGTTTATATGTCCACTTGTAAGTCCAATATGGCTGAGATGGGGTTAAGCTTTCAGTCCTCAGATGTCTCTTTACCAGACATGAATAGGCTCATGTCTACTTGGTCCTTTTTCTTAAAAGCTGTAAAACCAGGCATGCCCTCCATTCTTCTGGTGATATATATTCTGTTTGGCACTATTCTCCCCCCAAATCAGCTACTATGATACTTAAAATCTGTGGTTGCAGTTAACGCTTTTTTGATTTCTGAAAATGTTAGAGGCATCCCTAATAGCTACGGTGACCAGTAGGAGTTTGCATATTATTCAGAGTGCAATGGAAATTCACTGAGATGTTTGGAGTTGCAAATATACCTGATCTAAAAATTCTGATGGGGGAGGCATCACAGTTTAGGAAGACTCCTAGATTTGGACTTGACTGACCTCAGTTTGCACCTTAGCTTTGCCACTTACCAGCTGTGTAGCCTAGAGTAAGTAACTTAACGTTGCTAAAGGTGCCCAAGACTACCTCCAGGTTTGATGATTTGCTAGGAGGACTCATAGGACTCAACATCTAGTCATACTCATAGCTATGATTTACGGCAGTGTAAGGAAAGCAATATCAGCAAAAGGAAAGGTTCATGGGGCAAAGTCTGGTGGAACCAGCACAAGCTTCCAGAGTCCTCTCCCGGTGGGGTCACATGGGATGCACTTCTTAATTTCCCCAGGAATGAACTGTGACATGTGAAACCTTACCTACTGAAGAAGCTCATCAGAGCCTTAGCACCCCAGGTTTTTATGGGGGACTGGCTGTTCATGTAGGTATCCTCTGCTGAGCATATACCAAAATTCCAGACTCCCAGAAGGAAAACCGGTGTTCAGCATAAACTACAGTTGTCCCTTGTATACACGGGAGATTGGTTGCAGGACTGCCAGCATATACGCAGACCACATATGCTCATGTCCTACAGTCAGCCCTGGCAAACCGCAGTAAGCTGGCTTTCTGCATATGCCAGTTTCACATCTAGTGAATACTGCATTTTCCATCAGCGTTCAGTTGAAAAAAGGCCGCATATAAGTAGAACCACACAGTTCAAGCCTGTGTTGTTCAAAGGTCAACTGTCCATTGTACAAATAGTTTAGTCACAATGAGCCACTCTCTCAGTTCTTTTTTTTTTTTTTTTTTTTGAGACGGAGTCTCGCTCTGTCGCCCAGGCTGGAGTGCAGTGGCCGGATCTCAGCTCACTGCAAGCTCTGCCTCCCGGGTTTACGCCATTCTCCTGCCTCAGCCTCCCGAGTAGCTGGGACTACAGGCGCCGCCACCTCGCCCAGCTAGTTTTTTGTATTTTTTAGTAGAGACGGCGTTTCACCGTGTTAGCCAGGATGGTCTTGATCTCCTGACCTAGTGATCCGCCAATCTCGGCCTCCCAAAGTGCTGGGATTACAGGCTTGAGCCACCGCACCCGGCCCACTCTCTCAGTTCTGGTAGGAACCCTCCTGAAATCCAAGTTCCCAAACCCAGCCAAGAGTCAGCCTTGCTGATAGGGTTTTCTAAGGATAGCCTCCGGCCTACTGTGTTAAATCTTTTCTGTGCACTCAGTAAATTGAGGTTTATAGTAGAACCTTTCCTTGTTATGTCACAGAATTGTTGTAAACATCAAAGCCAGATGAGGGAGAGCTGGGCGCAGTGGCTCATGCCTGTAATCCCAGCACTTAGGGAGGCCAAGGTGGGAGGATCACTTGAGCCCAGGAGTTCAAGTCCAGCCTGGGCCATATACTGAGACCTTGTCTCTATAAAAAATTTTAAAATGAGCTGGAGCTGAGCATGGTGGCTCATGCCTGTAATCCTAGTACTCAGGGAGGCCAAGGCAGGTGGATTGCTTAAGCTCAGGAATTTGAGACCAGTCTGGGCAACATGGTGAAACTCTGTCTCTACAAAAATTAAAATTAAAATTAAAAATTAGCCAGGGTCAGGGTGCATGCCTGTGGTCCCAGCTACTTGGGGGGCTGAGGCAGGAGGATTGCTTACACTGGGGAGGTTGAGGCTGCAGTGAGTTGTGTTCATATGGCTGCACTACAGCCTGGGTGACAAAGTGAGACCCTGTGTCAAAAAAAAAAATAACAAGGTAAGGCGCAGTGGCTCATGCCTGTAATCCCACCACTTTGGGAGGCGAAGGCAAGTGGATCATGAGGTCAGGAGTTTGAGACCAGCCTGGCCAATGTGGTGAAACCCTGTTTCTACTACAAATACAAAAATTAGCTGAGTGTGGTGGTGCACGCCTGTAGTCCCAGCTACTCGGGAGGCTGAAGCAGAAGAATCGCTTGAACCCAGGGAGGCGGAGGTTGTAGTGAGCCAAGATCATGCCACTGCACTCCAGCCTGGGCGACAGAGCAAGACTCTGTCTCAAAAAAAAAAAAAAAAAAAAAAGGTACCAGGCATGGTAGCATGTGCCTGTAGTCCCCGCTACTCAGGAGGCTGAGATGAGAAGATCGCTGGAGCCTTGGAGGCAGAGGTTACATTGAGCCATGAGCCATGATCATGCCACTGCACTCCAGCCTGGGCAACAGAGTGAGACCTGTTTCATAAATAAATAAACCAGATGAGGACTTTGAAAGTACTTTTGTTAATGAAGGCTTGAGCACTCATTGTTGATGACAGTTACAGTGTTCTTTGAGTGCCCCTGGTGGATTTTACATTGTGTTCTTTCGTTATTTTTCTCACCTGCTGCTGTTCACAGAGACCCCTTCCCATAATCCGTAACGGCTCTCCTGAGCCCCATCCTTGTGCCTGGTGCCATGTAGGACAGGAAGGATCAGAAATGAATTAGGCTATTGCCCTGAGGCACCTAGGCCAGTTTTTCTGGTCCTGTTGGTGGTGTGACTGGGTTACTTTTCGCTGCCTGTTTCTCCAGCTTTCTCCTTTCTAGAGATGAAACCCTGCAGGTGGCCAGTGCTCACTGTATAACTGCGGTGCTTGTCCACTCCCCAGCAAAGCATGCCCCGGCCTTCATCCATGCTGACATCCCAGGTAGGGGAATGCTTCTAACCTTCTCCGCCCTATATTAGAAGGATGGGGTGGTGACAGGTTCAATTGTGTATGACAGACCCTATGAACTATGTCTCATAACATCTGAATCCTATTGCTACAGATTTCTTGTATGACCTTGAGCAATTTGTTACTGATTTTTGTCATTTATTTGGTCACCTATGAATAAAACCCTAATGTGGGGTGGTGGAAAGACCTGTGAACCAGGTAGGCAACAGGAAACAGTATTTTTCAAGGGACTGTTATGAGCAGGGACTGTTATGAGGTACATTGCAAATGTTACCACATTTAGGTCTTCATCTTCGCTATTTTATAGATAAGGAAACTGAGGATCAGAAAATGAAATAATTGGCAGGCCTAGTCAGTGGCAGAGATGGGATAAAAAGTCAAGCCCCTCTGACTCTTAAAACTCTTTTCCCTTCATCCACACCACTGCCCATTCTGAGAATTAGGAGACTTAGGTTCCAATCCTACTTGCGCCACTAATAGTGCCTCTTCTCTGGGACTCAGTTTCCCCATCTGTTAAAAAGAAGAGGTAAACCATAACCAAGGGCACTTTCCAGGTTTATTAGTGGATTAATGATCATGACTTATGGGGAGGATATGTGAACAGATGAAGTAGCAAGAGTAAGATGCTGAATAAATCCAAAGCCTTAGCATCAGTTAAGGGATCGTGATCACATGACTGTCATTTATTGTTTTCTCATCCTCTTCCTTGTCAGAGTTCCTCTTTGAGCATCTTTCTTCTTCCAGTGAAATGCTCGTCTGGTCCAGCTACAACTGCTTGACACTCCTGGCAGAAGAGCCACTCTTTTTTTCCAAGTGCCACACGGTGTATGGTTGGTAGTAAGGGTCCTGTACTAGCTTTGAGTTGGGTAGACAGACAGTTGGGTAGCAGCAAGCCTCCACCTTGGAGGGGAGCACTGAGTCTAGACATTTCATCAGCCCAAACTCATTACCAGATTTCATATGCAAGTATTGATACCCAAATGTTCTGCTGTTCACTGATTATCAGAAGTGTATATGTTTAGACGCTTCAGCAAGAGAAGGACACTTCTCTTAGCCACTAAATGAATTCCTGTTGCATGTTAACAACAACTCTAAACAGTGTTACTCAACCTTAGATTTAGTTATTTCCCATGCCCCAGATTTCTAACCATCCAGGTAGTCTCTAAGTTTTGCTAATTTATTCTTTCTAAGTTTCTTGAAACTATCCTTCCTTGTCTGGGACTTTTTTTTTTTTTTTTGAGATGGAGTCTCACCCTGTCACCCAGGCTGGAGTGCAATGGTGTGATCTCGACTCACTGCCACCTCCGCCTCCCAGGTTCAAGCAATTCTCTTGCCTCAGCCTCCTGAGTAGCTGGGATTACAGGCATGTGCCACCACACTCAGCAAATTTTTTGTATCTTTAGTAGAGATGGGGGTTTTACCATGTTGTCCAATCTGGTCTTGAACTCCTGACCTTGTGATCCACTTACCTTGGCCTCCCAAAGTGCTGGGATTACAGGCATGAGCCACTACGTCGGGCACCTTTTTTTTGTTTTTGAGACCGAGTCCTGCTCTGTTGCCCAGGCTGGAGTGCAATGGCACGATCTCGGCTCACGGCAACCTCTGCCTCCCGGGTTCAAGCAATTATCTTGCCTCAGCCTACCGAGTAGCTGGAATTAGAGGTGACTGCCACCATGCCTGGCTAATGTTTTTGTATTTTTAGTAGAGATGGGGTTTCACCATGTTGACCAGACTGGTCTCGAACTCCTGATCTCAGGTGATCTGCCTGCCTCAGCCTCCCAAAGTGCTGGGATTACAGGTGTGAGCCTGCTGTCTGGGACTTATTATATCACATCTAGATTTTTAGAGTAGGCACATTCAGTCATTCATTTTATATTCCTAGTATAAGCCAGGCACCAGGCTGGAACCTGGAAATTTAGAGATAACAAATAACATTGGTCCTTGCCCTCAGAAAAGGGAGAGATATGCAAAGGGAAATTTCGTTATGAGCTGATTAGAGCTCTGCTAGAGGGAAGCACAGGAGCTGTGGGGTCACAGGGGAGAGTCACAGCTCTAAGTGGATCAGGGAAAGCTTTTTAGAGGAGTGGGGTTTTGACCTGATTCTCCAAGGAGGAACAGGAGTATGCCAAGTGGAGAAAATACATCTTGGTCAGTAGGTGTTCAGTGAAAACCTCAAGTGCCAGGGATTGTGCTATGGCTTGTTCTGGGTGTTGGGGAGATGAATCAGATGAGGGCCCAGCCTCAAAGATCTCACAGTCTGGTCCCATTAGCTCAATCTTGTCAGGGTCCCTCCACGAGTGGCCTCCAACTGATACATGCTGTCTGGAGCCTGTAACCTCTCCTGGGTGGGCAGTGAAGGAACAAGAGAGCACTGATCCCTGGCCTCTGTCATGTCATCCTGTGGTAGGGATCGAGGCAGTGGTGAGGAGCCTGCAGGGGAGCCTGGAGATGAACAACACAGAGCTGCACAAGCAGGGCCTGTTGCTTTTCACTGAAATCCTGACCCGGTGAGCAAAGTGGTAGAACATGAGGCTTGTAGGGGCCAGACTGCAGAAGGAAAAGTGGGCTTTCATTCCTGGTGGGGTCAGTGATAAGAGTTCACCTACTCATTTCTCATCTACCATTTCTCAGGCAGCCAGAGGAGATCAAGCTGTTCACAAACTCAGCCATGTGCAGAGATGCTGGCCGTGCCCTCCAAGAAGCAGTTAGCAGCCCTGTGCTGGAGGTGGCTGCTGAGGCTGTGAAGGCCACTTCTGCTTTTCTGAGGTGAGAGACCCAGGCAGGCTAAACTTTCCATCCCTGCATGTACCTAAGGGCCTGTCGAGGCCAGGGCAGCTGATGATTACTTATAATACCTAATATAGTTGACTATTCATAATTGTGGATTCCACATCCATGGAATCACCCAACCACGGATTGATTTTTTTTTATTTTTTTATTTTTTTGGAGATGGAGTTTTGCTCTTGTTGCTTGGCTGGAGTGTAATGGTGCGATCTCAGCTCAATACAATCTGTGCCTCCTGGGTTCAAGTGATTCTCCTGCCTCAGCTTCCCAAGTAGCTGGGATTACAGGTGTGCACCACCATGCCCGGCTAATTTTTGCATTATTGTTAGAGACGGGGTTTCACCATGGTGGCCAGGCTGGTCTCGAATGCGTGACCTCAGGTGATTCACCTGCCTCAACCTCCCAAAGTGCTGGGATTACAGGCGTGAGTCACCGCACCCAGCTGAAAATTTTAAAGAATGGATGGTTGTCTCTGTACTGAACGTGTATAGACTTTTTTTCTTGTTATTATTCCCTAAACAATACAGTACACACTGGGCATGGTGGCTCACACCGGTAATCCCAGCACTTTGGGAGGCCAAGGTGGGTTGGATCACCTGAGCCCAGGAGTTCAAGACCAGCCTGGGCAACATGACAGAACCTGTCTCTACTAAAAATCCAAAAATTAGCCAGGCATGGTGGTGCACACCTATAGTTCAGCTACTCTAAGCCTGAGGTGGAAGGATTGCTTGACCTGGGAAGCAGAGGTTGAGGTGAGCTGAGATCACACCACTGCACTCCAGCCTGGGTAACAGAGTGAGACCTTGTCTTAAAAGAAAATAGAAAAAAAAAAACAAAAGAAACCCGGTCAGGCACAGTGGCATATCCCTGTAATCCCAACACTTTGAGAAGTCAAGGCAGGCAGATCACTGGAGTCAGGAGTTCAGACCAGCTTGGCCAACGTGGTAAAAATCCCTTCTCTACAAAACTTAGCTGGGCATGGTGGCACATGCCTATAGTCCCAGCTACTCAGGAGGCTGAGGCACGAGAATTGCTGCGGAGGTTGTAGTAAGCAAGATTGCGCCACTGCACTCTGGCCTGGGTGACAGAGCAAGGCTCTGTCTCACAAGAAAAAAAAAAAAAAAAAAGAACACCCAAACAGTATAATGACTATTTATATGGCATTTGCATTGTATTAGGTATTATATGTAATCTAGAGATGATTTAAAGTATACTGGAGGACTGGGTGTGGTGGCTTATGCTAAATCCCAGTACATCGGGAGGCTGAAGTGGGTGGATCACCTGAAGTCGGGAGTTTGAGACCAGCCTGGCCAACATGTAGTAGAAACCCCGTCTCTACTAAAAATATAAAAAATTAGCCGGACGTGGTGTCACGCACCTGTAATCCAGCTACTCAGGAGGCTGAGCTAGGACAGTTGCTTGAACCTGGAGGTGGAGGTTGCAGTGAGTGGAGATCGCACCATTATACTCCAGCCTGGGCAACAGAGCGAAATTTCGTCTCAAAAATAAAATAAAATAAATAAAGTATGCTGGAGGATGTGCATATGTTATATGCAAATACTATACCATTTATATAAGGAGCTTGAGCATCCTGTTTTGGCATCTTCAGAGGTCCTAGAACCAATTCCCCACAGATACTGAGGGACGACTATGCAATGTCAATGCAATGTAGACGGGGTATGGTGGCTCACACCTGTAATCCCAGCACTTTGGGAGGCTGAGGCGGGCCAATCACCTGAAATCAGGAGTTTAAGACCAGCCTGGCCAACATGGTGAACCCTGTCTCTACTAAAAATACAAAAATTAGGTGGGCATGATGGCACATGCTGTAATCCCAGTTACTCAGGAGGCCGAGGAAGGAGAATTGTCTGAGCCCGGGATGCGGAGGTTTCTGTGATCTGAGATCTTTCCACTGCACTCCAGATTGGGGCCACAGAGTGAGATTCCATCTCAAAAAACAAACAAACAAACAAATTAATGCAATGTAAATAGTTGTCATGCTGTATTTTAAAATTTTTTTGAGACTGAGTTTTGCTGTTGTCCAGGCTGGAGGGCAGTGGCTTGATTTTGGCACACTGCAACTGCCACCTCCCAGGCTCAAGCAAGTCTCCTGCCTCAGCCTCCCAAGTAGCTGGGACTACAGGTTGCATGCCACCATGCCCAGCTAATTTTGTATTTTGTAGAGACGAGGTTTTGCCACGTTGGCCAGGCTGGTCTCGACTACTGACCTCAGGTGAATCCACCTGTGTCGGCCTCCCAAACTGTTGGGATTGCAAGCATGATCCACCGTGCCTGGCTTACATTTTATATATTTTTTTTATTGTTGTATCGGTTTTTTTTTTTTTTTTTTTTGAGACAGAGTCTCGCTCTGTTGCCCAGGCTGGGGTGCAGTGGCTCAATCTTGGCTCACTACAACCTCTGCCTTCTGGGTTCATGCCATTCTCCTGCCTCAGCCTCTCGAGTAGCTGGGACTACAGGGCGTGTGCTACCACGCCTGGCTAATTTTTTTGTATTTTTAGTAGAGATGGAGTTTCACTGTGTTAGCCAGGATGGTCTCGATCTCCTGACCTCGTGATCTGCCCACCTCGGCCTCCTAAAGTGCTGTTTTTTGTTTTTGTTTTTTTTGAGACAGTTTTGCTCTTGTTGCCCAGCTGGAGTGCAATGGCATAATCTCAGCTCACCACAACTCTGTCTCCTGGGTTCAAGTGATTCTCTCCTGCTGCAGCCTCCTGAATAGCTGGGATTACAGGCATGCGCCACCACACGCGGCTAATTTTGTTTTTTAGTAGAGACAGGGTTTCTCCATGTTGGTCTGGCTGATCTTGAACTGCTGGACCTCGGGTGATCTGCCCATCTTGGCCTCCCAAAGTGATGGGATTACAGGCGTGAGCCACTGTGCCCAGCCATATTGTTATTTTTGTAAGTTTAAAAAATATTTTGGTCCATAGTTGGTTGAATCCATGGATGCAGAATCCACAATACAGAGGGCCAAATTATACTTCCAAAATGTTATATTATCATGTCTTTTGTATTTTCTCTGTTGTTTTGAATTTACATCTTGAAAGAAAATTCTGTTTCATTTTGGTAAGGAGTAGCAGAGATAAATGTATCTGTTGACTCCATCATCTTTAATCAGAAGCTGGCAGCTCTTTAACAACTATGAACTCCAGTCTCTAGCCCTGGTTCTCTTACTGTAGTTTCTCTTTGAATGCTCTCAGCCACTCACAGAGCTTCAGCTACTATAGCTATATGTTGATAATGCTCAAATCTGTAGTTCATGCCTAAAATGCCTGTATTACTTTCCTATTGCGGCAGGACCAAATTACCACAAAGTTGGTTTAAAACAACAGATATTTACCTTCTCATGGTTCTAGGGGCCAGAAGTCCAAAATCAGTATCACTGAGATGAAATCAAGGTGTCAGCAGGGCCACACTCCCTTTGGAGCCTCTAATAGGGAACCCTTCCCTGCCTCTTCCAGCATCTGGTGGCTGTGGGCATTCCATAACTTATGGTCATATTACTGTAATCACGGCCTCTGTGACCACATTGTCTTCTGTTCTCTTTGTATGTATACTCTCCCTCTGCCTTTTCTTTCTCTCTTTTCTTAAAATTTTTTTCTTTTTTCTTTTTCTTTTTTTGAAACGGAGTGTTGCTTTGTCTCCCAGGCTGGAGTGCAGTGGCATGATCTCGGCTCACTGCAAGCTCCGCCTTCCAGGTTCACACCATTCTCCCGCCTCAGCCTCCCAAGTAGCTGGGACTACAGGCGCCCGCCACTATCCCTGGCTAATTTTGTTTTTGTATTTTTAGTAGAGATGGGGTTTCACCATGTTAGCCAGGATGGTCTCGATCTCCTGAGCTCGTGATCTGCCTGCCTCCACCTCCCAAAGTGCTGGGATTACAGGCGTGAGCCACCGCACCTGGCCAAAAAATTTTTTCTTATTTTTTGTAGAGATGGGGATCTTGCTATATTCCCCAGGCTGGTCTTGAGCTTCAGGCCTCAAGTGATCCTCCGACTTTGACCTCTCAAAGTACTGGGATTACAGTCATGAGTTATTATGCCTGGCTGCCTCTCTCTTATAAGAATACTTATGATGGCATGTAGGGGACCACCTGAATAATCCAGGATAACTGCTTTATCTCAAGATTCTCTGTGAAAACTTTACTGTAGAAAATAACATTCATAGGTTCCAGGGATTAGGACCTGACATCTTTGGATACCACCATTCAGCCCACTATAGTGTTTTCCTGAACTCCAGATGACATTTCCAACTGCCTGGTGCTTTATTCCAGAAACTTCAATCTCAATTTGTCCATGCGACTAGGATATAGATAAAAATACCCAATTTGGGATCTGAAGAATTAGATTTGGGTCCCTGACTCCACAAGCAGTACTCAGTCACTTCTTGCTCATTCCTCTGATCTGCTTTCTGTTTCTTGAACACATCAATCTTATTCCTGCCACTAATTATTCCAACTCTGCCCAAATAATATTCCCTTAAATCTTTGTGACTGCTTTTTTCTTGTCATTCAAGTCTCATTCAGAATTTCCTTTCCTAATTGACCTTATCAGACTGCTATAGCATCTATCAAACATTTGAAAGTTCTTGTTTATTCTTTTTTTGTGACAGAGTCTCGCTCTGTCACCCAGGCTGGAGTGCAGTGGCACGATCTCCGCTCATTGCAAGCTCCGCCTCCTGGGTTCACGCCATTCTCCTGCCTCAGCCTCCCAAGTAACTGGGACTACAGGCGCCTGCCACCAGGCCTGGATAATTTTTTTTTGTATTTTTAGTAGAGACGGGGTTTCACTGTGTTAGCCAGGATGATCTCGATCTCCCGACCTTGTGATCTGCCCACCTCAGCCTCCCAAAGTGCTGGGATTACAGGCGTGAGCCACCACACCCAGCCTCTTTTTTTTTTTTTTTAATCAGAGTCTCACTGTGTCACCCAGGCTGGAGCGCACTTGTGCGATCTTAGCTAACTG